CGGTCGTCGTGGCGGAAGCGAGGATAGCGTGAGGCGATGAGAATGCGTTGAAACCGGGAGCGGTCAGAGCTGCAGGGAGCTGAAGGTCCATACACTGCACACCGCAGTCTGGGGGGGCGCACAGCCTCGCAAGACTCGTGTGCGTCGAGAAAAAAAGAAGGAGAAGAAAGAAAAAGAAAGAAAGCCGAGGTGGAGGCAAACAACCCAACCCAAGCTTCCAGCTCAGCAATCACCCAATGAGATCCCCTTGAGCCGCCTAAGTTAAGTTTTAGAGCTGATCTTCCCAGCCTTTTGGAGGAGGATCGCGCTTCTGCCCCCTTCTGGGCTCATGGGAAACGCTCGACGTACACGGAGCCTGGAGTATCCGCCATGGGCACTGCAACCTTCTCGTGGCCTCCCAGATATGCCCATGGACGCCCCTGGAGGCCCCCAATGCCATGGAGCGAATTGTGTGTGGATGCCCACAGGAAGACCCCACGGAACGACCAACAGAGCGGCCTGCAAAGTGAGCCTTCCTGTTCGCAGGCAAGGTATCAGGTCCATGATGCCCCGGGGACTGGAAATCCCAGCAAGGCCATTCAGAAGGAAAGGGCATATCAGACCTAATCACCCAGAGCTTGTAAATCCCTGTCCCTTAGAGACTGTTTTCTTAGCTGAATGAGCTGGGGGCTTGTTACGTGAATGCAGGGTCACCGAAACGCCAAATGGTCTTCAAGAGCAATAATGCTGTTGGGTTAGGAAGTCACAGATTGGCAGGCTGAGTGGAGTAGTGGTGGGGTTGTTACAGTGCAGGACTGGATATTGAACACAAAAGGACCTAAGATCGTGGCAAGGAAACAGAGGTGGATCAATGGCTGTGGTGCAGTGGGCTCACGCCTGTAGATCCCAGACACTGATGGGAGGCAGAGCAGGTAGAGAGCGGAGAGCTGGAGGAGCGAGGCGCTGAGCAAGCAGAGGAAGGAGCGCGGAGGAAAGAAAGAAGGGAGGCGGGAAAAGCGAGAAGAGGAGGCGGGGGAAGCGAGGCGAGGAGGCGAGGAGAGCACTGCACTCGAGACGGGCTGGGGCAGACAGAGGGGCGCGCGAGAAGTCGGAGAGAGAAGAGAGAGAAGAAAAAAAAGAGAGAGAGAGAGAGAGAAAGAAGAAAAAGAAGGAAAGAGACAGGGGGATAAAACCAGCCGACGAGAGAGAGAGTGCGGCTCGAGGCGGGCAGAAGGGAGTGGAGACCAGAGCGCTGGTCAACAGATGAGTGAAGACTGAATACAAAAAATAAGCGAGGGCGAGGTGTGGTGCGTGAGCGAGCGGCTCGAGGTGTTTTGCGCTGCGCGCTCCGTGGTGGTTTGGAGGAGGAAGGATGGATACAAGCACGCACCACGATGCCTGTGGGTTGAATTTGTAGGTTTTGTAGAGAGTGAGCAGAGTGCACGATGTTGACCTAGCTGGGGTCTCCGAACTTCTCACCTCAGGTGATCCACCGCCTTGAGCCTCCCAGAGTGTGGATTACAGGCGTGAGCCACCGCGCCTGGCTTTATCCAGCCTGTTTCTTTTTCTTTCTTGTCTTTCTTCTTTTTTTTTTTTTGGAAAGAAATGTTCACTCTGTTGCCAGGTTGGGAGGCGGTGCGCGTGATCTCGGGCTCACCGCAACTTTCGCCTCCTGGAGTCAAGCGATTCCTGCCTCAGCCCCTGAGTAGCTGGGATTACAGCATGGCACGCCCAACCAGCTAATTTTGTCATTAAGTAGAGAAGGGTTTCTCCATGTTGGAGTTCAGCTTGTTCAAAGACGTGCGGAGCGAGCCTCAGGTGGAGCTGAGCGCCTCCTGCCTCCTATAGTTTTGGATGGTACAGGCCCCCCCCGCCCCCGTGCCGTGCAGGCCACTGCCCGAGCCGATGATCCACCTGTTTTGCCACTCTAGGTCCTTTTGTGTTCAATATCCAGTCCTGCTCTTAACAAACCCCACCCACTCTCCACTCCAGCCTGCCCAATCTGTGACTTAACCCAACAGCAGTTATTGCTCTTGAAGACATTTGGGTTTGTGACCCCTGCATTCAGTAACAAGCCCACCAGTCATTCAGCTAAGAAAACAGTCTCTGAAGGGACAGGGATTTACCCAAGGCTTGGGTTGATTAGGTCTGGATATGCAGCCTTCCTTTCTGAATGGCCTTGCTGGGATTTCCAGTTCAGGGGGCATCATGGACTGAAATACCTGCCTGCGAAGAGGAAGGCTCACCTTTGCAGGCCGGCTCTGTGTCGTTCCAGTGGGGTTCTGTGGGATCCACACATTCGATGGCATTGGGGGGTCCAGGGGGCTCCAGGGCATATCCTGGGAGGCACGAGAAGGTTGCCAGTGCCCCTGGGCGATACTCAGGGTCCGTGGTAGTGACGTTTCCATGAGCCAGGAAGGGGGCGAAGCAGCGATCCTCCTCAAAGGCTGGGAAGGAGTCAGTCATAACAATTAAGCATTAGGGCAGGCCTCAAGGGATCTCAAATTGGGGATGTGAGCTGAATTGGGGTGTTGTTTGGCCACTCCCTGGGCTTTTTTTTTTTTT